AGGAAAGAGGAGCTCTGCTGTAATGACTATAATAACTCTGCTATAATTATGTGACTAGGCAGGGGGACCATGGCCCTGGAGCTGCCCATTCTCAGCTGCAGAGAAGAAAGCTTGTTACTATGTTTTGCAGGAACTCAGTCCCTCAGGGTAGGTAGAATAAATACTCCCTTCTCACTCCAGCTTTCACATTCAAAGGTGAAGTGTTGTGCAACAAGACAGCAGCAAATAAGGAGGTCCCTGTCTTCGTTAGCAGCCCTACTTGCTCCACCAGTATGAAAGCAATTCCCATGAGTGAGGATTATGAAGATCATGAGACGGAAGCAGAATGCTGCCAACTATCAGAGAAGGCTCAGGTTTAGAGTAGCAGTAGTGGCAAGACTAAAAAACCCACAAGACATTCACCTTTTAGGGCAAGATCCTCTTTCCTTTGAAGCACTGCAACAGGTCCAGTCAGAAGGACCCATTACATGTTCTACCCTTGGAGGGTCACTTGGAGGACCCTCCAAAGCGAAGCACTCCACTTACTAGGTTTGATATCCATGTGCACAAGGCCAGAGTTGTGGATGTATTTGAGCCCCATGGAGACTTGTAACAATATTTCTTTCAGCTCTGCTTCTGGGAAATACTGGCCAAGCTTCGCATTTTCCAGCAGCACATCTTGGAGACTCCCACCTAGGTGAAAGCAGTGAGACTGAGACCTGAGAAAGATTTTGTGGAGCACCATGTTTGAAATAGTTTAGTAGAAACTACTGCCCAGAGTGCTTGCAGGCTTGCCAGTGACAAACCCTAACCAGGCCTGCTCTATATGCTCTAGTGGTCAAACATGGACATTACCACTCGGCTTCAGCCTTCCCATTGCCTCAGGGCACCCTGCCTCCTGCTTGCCAAGGACCAAGCAGCTGCATTTCTACCTACAGCACCAGAAGCGCTGAGCTGATAGTGACACTGGTGCTGCTGCAAGTGAACAGTGGAAAAGCTAATTACTTTTGCCGTGCTTACAGGCAGAAAGCAGGTATCTGAATAGTGGAGCAAGGAAATTTAGGTCCCACTAGCAGACTTTTGATTAATGAACCTAACATTTGACACAGAAACAGAGTTTTGTGGGTCTCCATTAAGGCACTCTGGCTGTTTCAGGACTAGCAAATACATGGCCTCTCTCCCCATCAGCCTGCCACGTTTCATCGTTACCTCCACCAGATTTGAAGTCATTACTCCAAATAGCTATCACTACTCACTGAGCCCCAAGACTGCAGGAGCCATTGAAAGATGAGCTACATATTTGCCTTCAGCTGCTCCGGTAGCTGCTCTGGTAGTGTCCTTTCCAATGTCTCCCAAACAGTGGTATGGCCAAGGGCAAACCCAGGTAAGGTTGTACCACCCTGCCTGCAGCACCCCATTTACAGTTTACCTCATTATTTAGCTCCGTTCTTCTGCAACCATTGAGCCCTTTCTTCTAGCCAAGATGCAAGGTGCCCTCATCTCAACCTGGCAGCCACTCTTCAAATCATTACTCCCCTCCATTAAAAAGGCTTTGTTTCCAAGATACACAGCACTTGTTAGCTGCTCTTGAGTCACTCGTGTCAGGTTTTACCCGGGCAGTCTCAGACGCAGCTCTAAGCATCAGCATGGGGAATAATTTTCCAGGCCAGCCACAGAGGAACAGTTTTAAAATCCCACAAATGAGATAGCATTCAATACTTGTAAGACATTGGCACCATTCAGACCTTTGTCTGAATATTATGAGCCCTTACTAGATTCTCCATGGAACTGCAGCCCCAGCACAGTTTGCTTTGTGGTAAGCCAAAACGTCCCATGTTTGAGTACAAAAGAAGGTAACTGCACCCATCCCGAGACCTGACCTGTAGCCAAGTCACAGCTCTCACCGTTGCAGTGCTCGTTCTGGATAATCATGTGATCGTCCTCTGCCCACGCTGAGTAGTAGCGCACAACGTGGGGGTGGTGTCCAAGGACAGCGTGAGCATAAACCTCCCGCAGTGCCAGCTGCCTAGAGAAGCAAGCACAGAAAAAGCCGTGGTGACAGGGTGCCAGCGTCCTGCGTGAGACAGAGGAGCCCAGGTTTGCAGCTGGCTCAAGAAAGGGGGAGCAGAGGTGTTTAGGACCCTCTTGCGTTTTGGCAGACAAAATGGCTCTCGCTGTTACTGAAGCAAAACCTGCCCCTGCCCTGAAAAGGATGTTGAGGAATGCCACATCAAGCATGCTGAGCAGCTGTCAAAAAAAGAAATAATCGCTGAGCAAGTCTTTTGTTAAGGAGGCAAAGGCAGCTTCAGACACTTTGCTTCAGCATGCAGGACACCACCACTAGCTGGTCAATACAGATGTGAGCAGTGCTGGCCACACAGCGGGGCAGGGGCATAACACAAATGAACAATACATTTGGTGTTTATTGTTTTAAAGACACCGCCTGCACAGACCCGAGGAGTTCAGGTAAGCTGCCATCTCACTTTGCAATGCATGTGGCTTCTTCCCTTTCTCAGACATTTACAGTCAGTAGTCCCAAAACAGTAACTCCCCCCACTCTCCCAGCTGTTCAGTTTTTGCTCGTGCCACTCCTCTGATACCTTGAGATCCACACTCCCTCCCTTCCCCATCACACCTCCCAAGAACATGCCCATCATTTCTACTGGCACTTTCTAGCTAGCGCACTCACTCATCCGAGGATCCTGCCAGAGGCCTTTTGGAGCGTTTGATGGCGTAAACACATCCATCAAGGCGCTTGATGCACTTGTAGACAGATCCAAATTCCCCCACACCGATTTTTTCTAGTTCCAGGAACTCCTTCTTGTAGCGGGAAACCATGTTGCTCTCTTTCAGAGGATATCTCTACAGGTCACAAAAACAGCAGACACAGTATGAGCTAGAAGACTCCGATAACAACATCTGTCACATTTGTGAGCTGTGTAGCACTTGCTCACACAGAGCACCCACAGTGCTCCCTCTCCCATTACGGGTGTTCATCCGGACACACACTGGCAGTTCTTGAAATGCTGCCTTACGCTTACGCAAGTTGGGTTTTTTCTGACCACCTAACAAAGGTCATCTTGGCCTGATGTGGCCAAGTTTTTTGGGTTTTTTGGGGTTTTGGTTTTTTTTAAATCATGACTTGTTGGCCATAGTGGAAGAAATTGCAGCTAAGGAGAACTGTAGTCTAGTAGGCTGTATGTGCCCAAGCCTCCTTTGGGTTACTGTCATCACATCTCCTCTCTCAGCAGCCCTGCCCAGTTGCTAGACCCAGAGCTGACGGAGTCAGACAGGGAACCAACAGCAGGCAACAACAAAATACTTGTCTTTCGCCCAGCTCCTGCAAACTTGAGAAGACCTGTCACAAGCCTTGCTTGGTGGAAGTCCAGCCCCTCTGAATTAGCCAGACTCACATACTGAACCTGTGTTTAAACAAGAGCCATCGCCTATTTTGACCTCGGGAGAGAAGCTTGGTGTGTTGGCTTAACGCTGCCCCAGCTATCTAAGAGCCACTTTACTCTGCCCGGCAGCAAGGACGTTCTGTGTCAGTTCAGGCTCTCATCAGGTTGAAAGCACCAGCTATTGACTAACAGCAGATTAGCAGGGCTCAGTGTATCTGTTTGTGTTCTCAGTGACTTCTCACCAGGAGCCACTTTTCCACAAAGAGCTGAAAGCCTGCAAAACAGCTGCAACATCATTACTGCTACAGTAATGGTCACCAGGGAAATACGAGCTGCTGGTACTGCTTGTAGAGTGATGTCTACTGGCAGGGGAGAGAAGTGAAGAAAAGATAAGCAGCAGAGCATGAAGTGAACAACAGGAGAGTGGACTAAGTGATTTTTCTTCATCTTCCTGCATCTCTTACAGGGACAGTAGCTCATGTTGCACAGCTGTTTCCACATAAACCACTGCTGGGATTGCTGCTAGTATATGGTATATGGCCTTAAAGGTTGGGGGCAAGGAGCTGGACCTCACAGCCAGCCAGATGTGGCCCATATGAAACATCAGCCCTTCACAACAAGTTGCATTTCATGAGGCAGGTATATTTTACATTATCTTAAAAGCTCAGGGAATAAAAGGTACCACCTAGATGCAATTTTATACCTGTATTATGTGCTCATTCTAATCGGCGCTGGAGCAGAATAATATTTCTGCAAGTCACAAGTTATTTGAGGCTTTCTTCTAAGGAAAACAATAATTATGGTAGCCCCGGATGCTACCCAGTAGCACATTTGCTCTGCAGCTGTAGTTTTTCCATGGAGACCAGTTTGTCTGCAATACCAGCCTCCTCGGCTAGAGGGCACCGTTATTCTTCCAGTGAGCAAGCAATTCTGCCTACCTTCACCAGACATACCTCCTTCAAGGGGCTGCTCAGCAAAATTTGGATTTTTACCTCCCCTGAACACAGATATTTAATTCAGGCTTGGGTAGCTTCCCCCCAGACAAAACTGGGAAGAGGGCAGGCGGCTGCGGGACATGGGTTCCCACGCCAGCCCAGTTCTGCCAGCGCTGCTGGGGGTACACGAGACCTCGCACCCTGCCCCGCGCAGCCAGGCCAGCACACCCCGCTGCTGAGGTCTGCCAGCAGAGCACAGACATTGGCAAGGCAAGAGAACTTGGTTTAACATTATGAGACAGTGTTCCCTGTCCTGTAGCTACAGGTAGGGTCTGTGCTCAGACCCCAAGGCTCAGACACCCCAGCCAGATCTCTTCCTGCT